TTATTGAATGCTGTAACTACCCAGTAGCAATCTGTGCAACATTTTTTTTTTGTTTTGTTTTTACACAACATACATTTATTTTAGTGCAGTAAACAACTTGATGGTTATACTTTTTATTTCACTTTTTTATACCTCCCTTGTATTTGTGTAGGGTTGAGGGGAGGCTGGAGTGTTTCTGAGCTGTCATAGGATGAAAGGTCCCACTTCATCGCAGATCTTGCTCACACACCCATCTTCAGTGAGGAAAGTTGGAGAATGAGGTGAAAACCTAAACAGGAAGAGTAAAACAGAGAGGCTTCAGACTACATGTGAACCAAGAGTGGTGTGGTGTTTGAAAAGTGATTGGCCAAAAGTTAAAATGGTGGTGGTTAATACAAGAAACTGAGATGTTGATCAGTGGTGAATTTTGCAAATCTGCTATCAGCAGAACTGGCTGCTCATTCAGTACTTTTAGCTTTTTTGATAACTTTAGAAATGGTTACCAATTCCCTTCCGCTAAATTAGATTTCACTAAGTTTAAGTCCTCTAAAAAGTTCACAACTGTGAAATATATATATATTTTAGTATTTATCTCAAATTAGATAAAAACCTCCCCCTTTTACAAACAGTGCTGGACATGTCGGGCACCCTATGTGTGCATGCAACACTTTTAGCAGCTAAACTTGAAACTATCAAAAAGAAATAAAACTAGACCCCTCAGTGGTAGCATGTATGAGCCCCGCACACATACATGTCAAGTTGTACGAATTGTCTATAATTTACACCAATTTTCCATCATTTTGCAGGTATACGGACGTATCGAGCAATCTCACAGTTTTTTTCAAAACCTGTTTCAAATGTATTTAACATGTCAGACTGTAGGACGTTAAAAAGCAATAAATAAATAACTAGTTAACTAGTCTTTCAACCTGCTCTCCACTTCTTCTGTCCAGACACACTCTTTTCAGTCGGGGTGGGGTCTAGGGTGTTAGTGTGTGTGTGTGGTGGTGTGGGGGGGGGTGCTTATTGGTGGGCCCAATGAGTTAGACAACAACAAAACATCTGAAACTCCTATGTTGAATAGTTTTTCAGTTATAAACATTTTTGCATATCCTGATATTGAGTTTGTGCTCAACTGAGTTCTGTTACAAATGTATTTATTGGTTTCAACTGAAGGTAATATCTCAAGTTTTTAATTTAACACATTTAAAGGGGCAATAGTATGTGTTTCTCAGGCATATATTTCAATTCTATACAATAATAAAGTAACTATGTCACCTTCAGTTGTTATTAAAATGTTGTTTATATGTTTTAATAGAAAATAAACTTGACCTCATCATGTCTGTTTCTAAATGCTTTGTAATTGGCCTCTGTCTCTTTAAGAACCTCCTTCCGCTTCTGTCCCGCCCATTTCAGCACAGGGCGGGTGGGTGTGTGCTCTGTGATGAGGAAGCTTGGTTCGGAGACACAGCCCAGAGGAGAAGCTGGTCCCAAAAGGTGGTTCTAGTCCCAACCGGTCGTTTTTTGCTCCCCTGTCTGGCTGCTTCAGGACACCACAGAATTTCACAAACATGCATGAATGAGTCAAAGCAAGACTCTGGGCATGTTTTTGATGAGAGGATAACATTATAACATGATATAAAACTCAAAAAGTTTATTTTACATGATATTGCCCCTTGAAATGTTTAGGATTTGAGCTGTTTTTAGATGGCATCAGTCCACTTTGGTATTGGTCCCACTCAGTTGTTAACTCATCTATTAGGTCAGATATACAGTATACTTTATTTTTTCCAACTGAGATTGGTTAAAAAGGCATCTACAACAAGTGTGACATTAATTGTTCCTACATTGTTGTAGAACCACACTTCAAAATGTCTGAACTATGGCTTTAATGTGTTTAGAGAAATATATCAGAATGGCAGTAAGCACATGTTATTCTTCTATTTTCCAAAGTAAAAATAAAGTAAAATGCAATAWAAAATAAGTTAAAACGTTTCTGCTGTCCCAAACATTTCTGCTTGTTTCGTTTTAATGTGCATATTTTAATCTGATGCTGGGATGTTATCATTTTCACCCACATTGTTGCCAAGGGTAGAGGAAATATCACCTTACTCGGTGATGTTGATGATGCAGTGACGCACAGTGGGTTTGTTTTATTTAAATGCCTCCTGGAATAAAAGTTGTTTACACATTTTCCCATACAGAGGTTTAAAGTCAGATGTGATAACTGCATTCTATAGGTGCAAAATGTTTCCATTTTTTGTCATTTGGCTGCTTAGTGTTTAATAACTYGCCCTCAGTGATCCTAAACCATAAAAAGTAACACATTTGGATGCACAGGTGATCATATTCATGTTTATATGGCTTGTGTTGCACGTTGGGAAATTACAGTTTATCAGCAGGTTTGGTTGTTTGTGACTCTGTGCTGATTTGAGCTGTTTTTAACGCACAACTTCGGCCATTACTGAAATGAGCTTCTTGCTCCTCCGTTTGTAAACCAGTGCAGTTTTAGAACTTTCCACATAAAACTGAACACTCCCAAAGGAAGCGTACTTCTGAAAGCTGACCAGACGTTAAACTGCTCCAGAGTTAGAAACGTGGGACCAAATGCTGCAAAGTTTATGCAAGATCCTGCAAGTATTTTTAGTTGTTAGGGAAAAGCTAGCATGTGGATATTACTGAGCAATCCAGGTTTTCTTTTTCTTTGCCTTAAAACTTGTGCCTTTCTGAACAGATACTGTAATCTGTTTGTTGCTGGATTTTTCCACAAGTCGTATTGTGAGGTATATTGTAAACAACCTTTAAAAATAAATATTACAAATTAGATGTCTTGTTGTGAGGTGACTGAGTTACAACCACTGTGGTCAAATCTTTAAAATATCATTAACAAACATTAGCTCCCAATATTGCAAGATCTCGTGTAATGTTAGGTTTACCATMTAAGTTTGGWGCTGACTYTCAGCTACTACCACACCATTTTAGCTCAATCTGTAATCTCCACATACTGATGGTGGTAAGCTACGTTGTAGCCACAGCTTCTCTGGGGCACACTGACAGAGGTGGGGCTGCCGTGCATCGACACCACCTCTGACCACCATTGGTAAGCAAGGCGGGTTAAGTTTCTTGCCCAAGGACASGATGACTGAGACAGCTGGAATGGGGAAYTGAACTGGCAATCCTCTGATTATAGGACAACTAAGCATTCCGCCATAAAATTCCTGTAATGTCATCCTCGACCAGTACTATTTTCTAAGGTTGATTAGCAGTGTGTGTGTGTGTGTGTGTGTGTGTGTGTGTGTGTGTGTGTGTGTGTG